TGAAACCCATTAGACAAAAAATGGACAAAAATATTAGTTTTAGTAGAGAAGCTGTCATGCTCCGAACATAGTGAAGAGCATGCCTCACACGCACACGGAGGAGCATTGACACTACTCAGAGAAACCCGAAATGCAATCATAGCATGAGAATCTCGTGGATCTAGGATCATCGTAACCCATTTCAAAGCGAAGAAAGAGGGATTAAATGGAATGTCGTTCAGTGATATGCATCTGCCAACGATTACACTGAAGATGATAAAGATCAATTCCACGAGAGACTGCAGTCAGTCATCGAGAAACGCCCAAAAAAGACTTGAACATTCTGATAGGGGACCTAAACTCCAAGGTTGGAATTAACAACATTGAATATGAGTACATGATGGGACAACATGTACCATGACAGAGGAACGAAAATGGTGACACGTTTGCAAGGCAGTGTGCTTTTGACAAAATGATTATAGGCGGAACCGTATTCTCACACAAACACGAAAAGCTAAATCGATTTCACCGGAACACACTGTGGAGAACCAAACCTATCGTTTCTGTCTCAGTGAATTGTTCATCAGTTCCATCGAAGACAAAATACAAAACGAGTGGAGCCGACATAATTTCGAAAGCACTACGAAAAGCTTAGTATGGTTTTCCAGTGGGATATTGAGTTGTCTCTCTCGGCTCTCACTCAGATCTTTCCCTAGAAGAGGAAACAACAACACCGAACAAATATAGAGGGATTGAAAAAGCAATCAATTGAACACGTCACGGGGTTCAGCGTTAGAGGTGATGAACATCAGTATGTCAAAGTCCTTCTAATAGCAGAAGAAAAAACGCCGACAGAATTAAATGAGAGGTAACTGTGTCATTCAAAGAAATTGTCCGTGAAATGAGTTAAACCAGAACAATCAATTTTCGGGGTCAAAGATCGAAGAATTTGGCGGGTGAAGTACTTCGAAGAACTCTTGAATGGATCAGTCCCATTCAACCCACCAAACACCCAAGATACACCTACAGACCTTCCTATAGTTTTCACCACACTAGAGCAATCATCATGGTCATCAGACAATTCAGGCGTGAAAAACAACGGGACCATACAGTGAACCAGACGATGCGATTCCCCCGAATATGAGAAAGCATTTAACAGTATGAACAGAAGAACCTTATGCTACATTGTTCGGCAGCACAGCTTATATTGAGATATCAGATTCGGATGACGGTTAGTTACTGGGCGACAAGGTTTCAAAATGGCGAGGTCCCCAAACAGTGTCTTGGAGAACAGCATTATTTGATTGAGCCTTGGTATGTAACCAGATTAAAGCTGATGAATAATAACACTTATAGGCAGTTGGTGACATATATGTTCGCAGATGTCGCTTTTCATTCCATATTCATCACAGACGCGATACGACGGTCAGTTATGTTGACGGCAATCAACAACCATTTTAACCTGTTTTTAGGGAAAGTTACTGCCGTAAAAGTTAATAATTGAATAGAAAGAAGCTGAAGATGACAGGCTTTTACAATGAATGTAAACACCGAGGTGTTTGTGGTGGACCAAACGATATATTATTTCAAAATATTAACAAAGTTATTGAATACAATAAAATGCATAGCGAAATATATCAGTTAAATGTTATGAACACAATGAAAATGTATGGACGTTACTTATTGCGGCTGCTTGTAGGTGTTCGGTTGCGTTTGGTACCAAAAATCCACAATTATAGGAGATTAGTAATCCAAGTGATATATTCCGTCGTAGAATAGGATATTAATATGACTGTAGTCTATAAATGTAGATGCATTAGAATCCAGATAACACATTAATGAGCAATGGAAAAAACGGAATATGTGTATAAAGTGTATTTGTTGGGAGAAGACAGCGTATATCGTGCTATGTGTACAACAGAACGGAAAAAGGTGAGTAGTCAACGATATTTGTTTTTCAAGGTCACACACTTAAACAATAGGAACAATAATTTTATAGTAAATGTACAAGCAGTGAAAAATTAACAGAATAAATACACAATAAGTTTGTCAAGCCTATCTCCATACGTTTTGGTCAAGAAAATTAACTAATCGTAACCAGAATAATCAGACATGAAAAATGTCCACAAAGTGGGCGAGGAAAAATACAGAAGTGAACAGCAACTGTTGAAGCACGCGTGTACCTATAACAAAGGACCTTCATTTGGTGACAGTCGAAACAAGAGTAAAAAACTTTTTGTCGTCCCAAATATTGTTGAAAGCTTCCCTTTCCAGTTTTTATCTAAGCATCTGGTAAGATGAACGTGACAACTGCGGGTTGTTTAAAAATGTAGAAAGATAGCTTCATTCTTAAGAATCAGTAGATAATGCAACCTCCTTCATCAATCTATTATGATAGGATCTACTGCTAACCGTCCCAAAATAGGGCTCAATGAATTATTTTGTTTTACAGGTACTAAGATCACGTACAAAGTGAATATAAAACCAAACATGCTTCCACAACATAACCCAACTTGTCCTGCAGTCGTACACATGAATGAGAAAGGAAGGTAGCCGAAAGCTTAATTTGGTGGAATGATGCATAGACTGAAAGCATTACCAGAAAATGACGGCCTTTTAGAAGGTTTAGGCTATCCTATAAAGCTGTCCTGTGACTTCTGACACTAATGAGAAGTATTGCCTCCATAATAACCTATTATGAACATGTCACTAAACTAGGGTAAACTGTAAAAAATCATAATGATTATTTCTTCTGAAATAACAATGTTACAGAGGCAGACCAGTTTTAATACAAGATCAAACTCTCATAAATCCTAATACATTTACAGTATTGGGTTGCTCAGTTAGAATGATATTTAACAAGATTCACTGGTCATCACCATAGAAGGCTGATATTTTCGGCTTACAATTGTAACTAATGCATAAGAGACTGGAATGCACAGAATTGCAGTTAGAGCTATTAATGTCGGTTGCACCGCAACAAACGACTGGTGGTCGACTCGGTGCATACTGATTTTATTGATGGCATTCTGCGGATGACTATTTACCAGTCTTCTAGGATAAAAGCCTGTAAGCATCCATAATGTTTGAGTGGAACCATATGCTATGGACTACACATCTACGCCAAATGTAAGTGCGATCAGTCAAAACTGAGAGTTCACAATCAGTGTTTGACATGAATTTGCGGAGCGGTTTTCAGTCATGTTTTCAAAACGAGTATGAGACAACCTGCTCTGTCCAGTAAAAGTGCGCTGATATTATATAGCCTTACAGCACACTAGACATTGACCCTGACATTTTTGTCTCATGTATTTCTCGCAATCAGAAGTGGTCATCTGAAGGGAAATACTCAGGCATTCAAAATGCTCAGATCAGTTCGTCTACGTTGCAAAATTCGTTTCTCTTATGGGATTGTAAATTACTGTAATTATCAATTGAAATTCTCTTAGCAGTAACTACAACTTACATTTCTCGGACAGAACCACACAAACCAAAAAATGCTCTACATGATTCCAAAGCTTCCAAGGATTGTACGAGGTAATACTACGACTACTGTAGAACCTGGGTATTCTTAGACTAATTTACCGAAGTCTATTCGACAGAGATGACTTCTTAGGGATAAACCGATTCAGACGTCTATGCTGGAGATACTATCGCAATTAAAAAACATAACGTCTTTCGTTGTTTGAGAACAAAATATTATTATCATTACTATTACAAGGTGACCCAAAGAATGTTATGGAGGAGGATACACTTCTGGGAGTTGATCAAGTAAACATGTCACATATTTCGTAAGTAGTGAAAAATTTGGAATATATATGAAAAGAATAAACTGGGAAAGGCATTTAGTTTTTCTCATCGAACGATCAGTGACTGGAACCCTTTATTCAGACAAAATGCATCAGCTCAATCGATGAACCTTTTCAGAATGAATTCGGAGTTCACTTGAAAACAAGCTATACGAATTAGCATGAATCCATGGACGAACTATGCTTTTGACCAAAGAATGGTGTGTTTCAAGTAAATATTGTGTTATTAACGTTAAAGCGCATTTTGGGTTGTTGGATTGTAGGACGTCCTGAATATTCCTTAATACCTTTATTCGGCCACATTTAGAGCGTAGAAATACGGTGTTTCTACCTCACTCCGAAGAAAGAGCAAACGGTAGAACGAATCAGAAGGCGAGGCACACAATTAGTTCGAGGACTGAATTTCAATCATCACCGAGAGCTCCTCCAGTCGTTAGACCTTCACCTGCCAGAGCGCAGGCATCTCAGATATGGCCTTCTAGTGACTAGAAGCATTTTCAACATTCCTAACAACCTCCTGAGTTACCCAAGCAAGCCCAGTCTCAACAAAAACCTTGAGGGAAATGCCAAAAACTAGAGGCCTAATATGGCGAATTGAACTTCAGGTATTCATACTACTCCTTACCAGTAGTCAGATTCTGTACTTAACTAAGGTGGTAAACCGTTCTCTAGAGTCCTTCAAGAAGAAACCTGACATATTTTCCAGGAATTGAGACCGTATTTTACCATAACTTACTAATATTTGGCTTTTACGCCTTCAATATACCTAGGTTTCTACCTGGAGGAATCGGTGACCAATCGCTACTAGATACTAAATCCTATTCAGCAAAAACGTTTTTTCTTTAGTCTGCAAACATTTGAACTATTCGAACCATTTTTACAATTTAAACCACTTGATACTTCAGGACTGGACATCGGAACGAAAGGCATTGCCTTAAATTGTGCGTTACCACTGTTAAGTTTTTTAACGTGTTCGAAACATCATGTTAGCACTTATAGTTTTGGTCGTGACATTATCCTTACATCATGCATGTAATATTTCTGGTTATATCATCTTCTTTCATTAGTTAATATACATATATTTTGTGCCTACTCAATTATCAGTTCACGTTTTTCTTTTCAAGCTTTTCTCACAAACTTTATTCCTCACGCTCCCCCAAAACTCAAATACCCCTCAAGTTAGGGGAATATCACTACAAGCTTTCGAATCATATGAGCAGAAATACGTTAGTCTTTTTCATTCTTCATACCAATTATTTAGCAATTGGCTAAAATATCTGTCCTGTCATAAACGTCACCGTAAACGTGGAAAAGATGGTGATTCCAACTGCACTAACTGTGTAAACAAGCAAAACCCAGACAATATTAAACAGATTGACCAGGATGAAAGTGTTAAGGAGACTTTATCACTGTCAACTATTAGTCATATTCCTGGTGTTGGAGACGGAGGTTCAGCAAGTTTAGGTGACTGGTCTGCTGTTCACCAGCTTGATGGAATCGATGCCTCAAAAGTGAACCTATTGTGTGATGGCAACAGCAATAATACATCCTCTTTACTGGGTGTTCTCAATCGAGTAGAATTCTGTGATCGCCTGGAGTCCATAGTTGTTCGGCTTGAAAAGATAGCGCAAGCAATGATTCCAGGTAGGTGCTGCATGGTTTAATTCATTATACAGAAAAAACTACTGGACTGATTGCTTTTGAATCACTTATTGCTAATAGCCTAAAGAATTACATTGCATGTAGTAGAAAGTTGGGAGGAAACATACAATCTCAGGTAAATAAAACTTGTTGTTTATTTGTAGTCTTTATGTGTTCAAAATGCTTTTGGCTTCGTCAGGGATCTCATTGAATTATCCAGTATTTATAGTAAACCGAGTGAAGAGGATATGGATATTCATTTGAAACCTCTTCATTATAAGATAATTGAAATAACAGTAAGTTAATTCTCTCTAATAGCTTAAATGAAGTTAAGAATTTCAAGGTTGGAGCGATGTCTGTACGGAAATGTCAATTATCAACTATTGCAGATTCTATTCTTATACTGAATTGGGTTGGGTCTGTAAGTCTATAGGTTCGTAGTATAACAAATCTTAGAGTACAGCACTGCAATACGTGAAAGAATTGAAGGATTCCACATGGTTGAATGCTAACAAAGTCTTTCAGTATTGTCGTGGGAGGTAAGTTATTTTTGGGTATATAAAAGTTTAAATATTATTATTAACCCAACAGGGGAATTCGATCTATGCATGATGTATTATTTACTCCTAAGGGTCTCTAAGAGTTTTTGATATGACTGGATAAATTTGTCTATTGGCTTGTGAAGTGGTGAAGATTAAGCGTCGGCAAAAACTTCTAAACGATAAAGCTATAAAAAGCTTATAAGGAATTCGGGTAAAGATTCAGAATGGGTGCATCTGCACCATTGCATACGATTTTAAACCATGTCATTCAAAGTCTCGCGGACTCCAAACAGATAGTCAGCATCTATTAATACGAATCAGTACAAATGTCGATGACTTCATAAACGGGTGCTGTGTCCCTAGCTTCATCCAACCTACTTCCACCCCACATACGATCGCTCGTCAAGGTATATGACAGTTGGGCATACGTAACACATTTCTCATACACCTCAGTTGATGAAGATTCACTACTTCATCAATTGACTTGCCATGTTTACGTAGTACCCTGTTCCTAACCCAAGCGTTACCTGTCGTGATGACCTAACTGAGCTACATTGGCTGGAACATATGTTCCTGAAGTTTCTACCATGCCCAGGCAGGTCGATTAGAGAACGATGAGACTCAAAGCAGCTACTCAAGGTCTGAGGGCGAAGTCGTACTGCTAACTGCAGAGGGCTGTAACAGCAGTAAGGTGTTTCCCTCGGACAACCAGCATCTGCAGCGATGCTGTTTCTCACAAGGAAGGAAGGGTTAGAAAAGGTCGACCCTAAAAAATGTCACACCTCACCCTACCTCACGGATTTCCGTCTCCGTCGGTGAGGGCTGCCCAATAAGGGCTTTAAAAAGAGCCTAGGTAATACTCAAAAAACCTTTCATCAGAAGGCCGTGCGTGACCAGGCTCAAGCAGTTGTCCCTTGGACTCAGCAGTCACGCTCTCAGGTCTCTAAGACCGACGCTAGTCTACCTTTCTTTTCAGGTTTCTCAAAAAACACCCACAGTGTAGGCAGCCGGGAAGTGACAACTGCCTTCATACCCGTAACCAGCACACGAGATCGGCAGGAATTGGTTACAATCAAATCCTTCCTATTGCTCACCTCGGTTGTTCCAAAATACATGAGGAGCACTTCGAATAATACCTATGATCGAATACTATTAACCAACAGATGTCCGCAATTCTTAATGTCATGTTTCACACCCATGAATTAGAACAAAGTGAACTGTACAGTAAATTCGTCCTATGGTTGACAGGCGGATATCTCGCCTACAACACAGGTGACGCAAGATCCAGTCGGGCTTTCATGTTCATACCGAGATT